GAAATCCATGTTACTGATTTCCTCCTGACTGTCCTCGCTCTATGGAGGGTATGTCCCAGCTCTACGGGGTTGAGCAGTTTTGCCAGTGCAACTGCCACAGAGGAAGTGCTAAGGGCAGGAACCCTAAAAATACGGAGATTAGCTAATTGAGGAGCAACAGCTCAGCAATCCCAAAACAATGAGCTCGTAGTGATGAAGCCTGAACCCACCTCCCCCCAAAATTAAGATAAGGACTTCAGCCAAACTGCATCCATTTAGCAGCAGTGCTGAGCGACGTTGCACAATGGCTGTGTCCAACTGCCCTCTGTCATCGTACCAGCACCTCGCATAGCTTCTATTGGAGCCAGGGCCAATGCAAGCCACCAGCTCCTTTGGCAGCCAGGCCGTCATGGGTCAGGTGTTTCTGGACTGGGGAAGGTGTCAAACTTCAGCCTCCAGGTTTGAACACACCAGCCATTCTGCAACGTTGAAGGTGGAGGTTAGCATCTCAAGGCAGGTCATATTTTTCACCTCAATTACTTGACAGTGTCCCTTTGAATATCAGAATGCAACAGAACAGGTACTTCTCTGGCAGAGAATGTGGGAGGTGAAACACCAGCCAAGAAAGCTGACTTACTGAGGACCCATGTGAAACAGCATGGTTCTGAGGCCACTGTACTTTTATCTGACCAATCTTACTATCTACCAAAGAGTGCTTTTGGCAGAGGGGAGGGAAGGGATGTTGGTGGGCAGAGGGAGAGGGAAGGGGCAATTCCAATCATCTCTAAAAGCAGCTGCCCCTAGAATGAAGGTGTTGCAACGAACGGTCTCTGGAAGAACTGCTTCTGATCCACAGTAGAGAGAAACCTGGCCAAAGCAAGGAAACACAGCAGCCTCTCGCCCCCATGCCTGTCCTGGAAACTGTCCTCATTCCAAGAGATGAGTAAAATGGTGGTTTTGAGAAAGGGGAAGCATACACAGATGAAGGGACAGCTGTCAGACATGATGTTGTTTCCCTCCCTGCCCTCCGCTCATTTAATATGGAGAAGTCAAATTCCTTTAATTTGGCTGACGGCTAAAAGTTTATGAGGTCAGAAGCACAACTTGCCATGAAAGAGTGGTGTGATCTAGTAATCTGAGCACACAGGACTCTGCATACTCTCACTCCAGCTCTGCCACCGACTCTGTAGCCTTGGGCTGTTTGGCTCAGTCCCCCCTCCACGCAAAGGGGGAATAACAATACGTACCTACCTCACAGGGGTGTTGTGAGAATCCACGTTGGTAAAGCCTGTTGAAGTGCTAAGTCTACCACCGGTAGTCACGAAGCATGTGGTGGGGGTGAGCAGTGCTGCCCTTTTGCTGGTTACAGTCCGAACCACTCAGCGGGAGTCCTATCGGCCCTCTCCTGCTTGGAGATCCTCCTTGATCCGAAGCGGAGGGTGTCGTCCGAGTGCCCTCTCCTCCATTGCATGACATTTTAAGCGGCTGTGAGGTGCAGGGTAGTGACAGACATAAAGTCCTACTTGACCAGGGATTTGCTACAACATTTTCTATTTCTGTGGGGTTTGTTGGTTTGGTTTTTCCATATATTGTGCTTAGAAATAAACTTTCCACTTAGGGCTGGCGGTTCGGGATCTCTTCTGTTGCATGGCAATGTATACAAGTCTTATTGTCTGTCTTACTGTGCAAATGATCCCGCAGCCCAATTTCAGAGATGGGTATGGTCTGAGCCTTTTCATAGCGGCATAAGACTCAAAAGCCTGTCTAGACTGTTTAATATTTAAACAACACTATGAACTTGTCAATTGTATGTGTTCTGTGCAATACGAAGCATGTCATTAGCTGGCTTGATGGGCAGAGGGGCTAAAGGAAGGTCAAAACTTGTTCAAAGAGCTTCATACATGTGCCAGCATGGAGCCGAAGGGCTGCCACCAGCAAAGCAAACTTGGGAAAGCCATTGGAAACTGTTTTCAGAACAGTTTACTCCAGAAAAAGGTAATTCTGAGTTTATGAACTTCTAGGCTGCCAGCCTGAGAGAACAAGTGCAAATTTAGTGTGGGGTTCGGGGTTTTGGATTCTCTTTTTCTTTCCTCCCCAAAGTATTGATGGCAGAAATACTGATGTGGGTCTCTTCCTTCCATAGCGGAGTTCTCTCGTCTCCCAGAACCTCCTTGTGCCATCCCCTTTGTGCTACTATGCAGGACTTTAAAAGGTGCAAATGGAGACAGTACGCTCCCGAGACATGCGAAATACATTGCGTATTGGCAGATTCTAGCAGACAGAAGAGATGGGGCAGAGCTATGCTACAGAAGGCATCTCCTCTTCCCCATATCTTTCCTCTAGTCTTGTCTGCTGGGTTCCTGAAGAGATGTTCTCTGTATTTTGTTACAAAACAGTCAGATCAGCTTCCACCGACAAACAAAGCTTGCAGAGTTTGGCAGCTGTTTCTCCCTGTGGAGAAAATTCCAGGTCCTATCACTGTGGAGACCCCTCAGTTCTTTGGCTTTGTGGTCCTCCAACAGCGTTTGGGGGTGGTCAGTGTGGAGGACTGTGTTCAGCCATCATCAGAAATCGTGTATGTGTGGTCCTGCTCATTCTCGTGATTTCTGCTAGTCCCCTAATTTTCCGTCAGTTTTGACAAGTCTTTCTGGTGATGCTCTTCTGGTTATGCTCTTCAGAGGTGTTTTGCTCTGTGTCAGTTGCCAATGCTATTCCTGCCTACTGAAACATCAGTGCTGGTCTCCAGCTTCCACAGCTCTTCCATTCTTGCCACCCAGTCTCTTGGTAAATACCCACTGCCAAGTTCAGACCCTCTTCCTCTGTGCCTGCAATGGCTCAAGCACAAGCACTAACCCAAGGGTCATCAGAGAACACAGGGACCATTAGGAGTCTGTATCAATAGTCAGACTCCATAACCATCAGTCAGTCCTCTTTGATATATATTCACTTTGCCAATCTCAATGCCTGCTGTTAATTGGCTGCCACAAAAAACCCATAATGCTAGCAAAACCCATATAGCCCGCTAACACTTGGTTTCCAATTTCAAATGTCAGAAGTGATGGACTGTTTTTCAAGTAAATCAGGTGTGTTCCCTGCTGTGGTTTCCCAAGCAAGATGTGGAAGAGGTCCATGTCCTACCTTACCATGATGGGCGATGCAAGGAACGAGCAAGTTAGCAGCATAGATTTGAGTCAAGAGAGGTGTCGGCTGTCCACTATGTTTTCACTCGGGGAGACAGGAAAATACTATTCATGTCTGCCAGGTCCCTGAGCCTTCTCGAAGCCCTTGTATCTGGCAGCAGTAAAATGTCATAGCCAATGCCTGTAGATGGAGGACAATTCTGAAGATTTTCCAATTCTGAAGACCATCCCCTGCCCATGTGTTGTGGTCAGTCATTCAAGCATCTTCTCTTTGTTTTCCTCAAGAGAAAAAAGATCATTTTGACTAAGAAAGTACTGCTACTCTTCAGCGTAGGAGGAGGCTGCACCATTAGCACTTCCAAGCTGTGGTTCATCCACCAGGACTCCTGCACATCTCCTTGTGAGAACGAATGGCCAGAAGACCTATTCCTTCCTCTTACTATTATACGTCGGTCAAGCACTTGGAGGGAAATAGTCAGCAGTGCAATTGCCTTAGTGACTACTGGCTGAGTATCCTAACCTCCTCTCCACTATTCACCTCACCTGTGACTGCTCCTTCTCATTCCTGAGCCAACAGATGGATCATCCCCTCTGCTGTCCCTAGACTCTAGC